GTATGTAAACAATGCGGGAAAGCCTTCGTTACACACAGTTACTGTCAAATACATGAAAGAATTCACACTGGGGAGAAGCCCTATGTATGTAAACAGTGTGGGAAAGGTTTTGCTTCTAGCGTTTCATTTGGCAGACATAAAAGAACTCACACTGGTCAGAAACCATTTGTATGTAAGCAATGTGGGAAAGCGTTCAGTTTACCTAGGTATTATCGAATACATGAAAGAAGTCACACTGGGGAAAAACCGTATGTATGTAAGCAATGTGGGAAGGCATTCAGCAATAATAGTTCTCTTTGTAGACATAAAAGAATTCATAAGAGAGAAAAGCCATCTGTATGTAAGCAGTGTGGGAAAGCTTTCAATTCACATACTCACTGTCAAATACATGAAAGAAGTCACACTGGGGATAAACCCTATGTATGTAGAGAATGTGGGAAAGCCTTCACTACACACAGATATTGTCAAAGACATGAAAGAACTCACAATGGGGAGAAGCCCTATGTATGTAAGCAATGTGGAAAAGCATTCAGAAGACATGGTCGATATCAAATACATGAAAGAATTCACACTGGGGAGAAACCTTATGTATGTAAACAGTGTGGGAAAGCATTCAGTGCACATGATTATTGTCAGATGCATGAAAAAACTCATACTAGGGAGAAACCCTATGCATGCAAGCAATGTGGGAAACGATTCAGTACACACCAATATTGTCAAAGACATGAAAGAAGTCACACTAGTGAGAAACCCTATGTATGTAAGCAATGTGGGAATGCATTCAGAAGACACAGTCAATATCAAATACATGAAAGAATTCACACTGGGGAGAAACCCTATGTATATAAGTAAGCCTATCTTGAAAATCCTGTGACAGTTTCTCATGTAGTGGAGAACAGTACAAATAAGTAATATGAGAAGTCTGATGTCAATTATTTCCTCAAACTTTCCAGAAAATACATTCCCAGGTAGAGATATCCTAAAGTATAAATATAATGTGTTTTTCAGTAAATCACTTGTAAATCTCTGGATTAAGTATCTGTAGTGTTCACTTTTAAAATATTAATTTGACGTGATTCTTTAAAAAAAGAATCTGCCTCAGTCACAAAGATTTCCTCTAATGTTTTCTTGTAGAAATTTTAGAATTTTATAAAGGTTTGTGATCCATTTGACTTAATTTTTTATTAGGAGTAGAGAATTGCTCAAAATGTATGGTTTTGTCTGAATATACAGTTCCAGCATTATTTGTTGACAAAGGATATCCTTTCTCCATTATTTTACATTTTTGTAAAACAAAAAAAATCAGTTATAGACAATGTTCCTATGGTTCTTTTCTGGACCCTGTTCTATTCCATTGATCTTTGTGGCTATGCTGAAATTTGAGATTATGTTGAGCCTGTTTGTCAGTTAGAATTGTCTCAACAACATTATATCTTTCCGTTTATTTAGGTCTTTGATTTCTTAAACCAATGTTTTCTAGTTTTTGGTATACTGTAAACTTAGATTTATACATAATAAATAGTTTTCTTTTTGCCATTATTATAAATAGTCCTGTTTGGTTTTAATTTTTAATCCCTGTTGTTTATTGCTAATACTATAGAAATATTTTCAATTGAGCTTTAGCTCATGGCTTACTAAACTCATTTATTAGCTCTAGGAGATTTTTTTTTATAATTTGTTAGGATTTTCTACTTAGATGATCATGTTGTCTACCAATAAAGTTTTGTTTTTTCCCTTTCAATCTCTAGACCTTTTATTTCTTTTCTTGACTTATTGTAACTTCCAGCAGTATATTGAATAAGAGGGTGAGAAAAGACCTCTTCCTCTCCTTGTCCCCTGACAGGGAAACTTGCAGTTTCTTACCACCAAATACAGTGTTAGCTGTAGGTTGTCTTGTAGGTCCCCTGTATTGGATTAAGACAGTTTCTTTCTATCCTTGCTTGCAGTAAGTTTTTACCATGAATGGATATTGAGTTTTGTTGAATGTTTTTCTGTATCAATTGATATGAGTGTATGATTTTTCTTCTTTCATTTCTTTATAGGGTGTGTGTATTTGAGACATTTGAAAATATTGAGCTAGCCATTCCTAGAATATTGAACATGCATCCCTGGAATAAACAATTCATTGTGGTGCATTTATACTTATTTCTGGATTCAATATGCTAATATGTTCTTGGGGGTTTTGATAGACTGGAAAGAGTTTTCCAACTCAGCTTGTTAATGACTCGACCCACTTTCAGTCCTTTGTTTTGAGACATTCATATAGTAATAGTCGAGTATAGGTTTTTGTGTATCCTTGACTCTTTCCTCTTTCTGTGGTTGCTGTTCTTTTTGATTCTACCTATTTCTTAATTCTGCCTACATGTTAGAAAAGCATGAAGTTATACAACTCAAGTTTGCAACAGGATTTAGGGAGAGGCATTTGAGCCTAGTAACTAGATTCAGATTTTTCTCAAGTTGTTACTGAGGTCCTACAAAATGCCCAGACCCCATTTTCACTCTAGGGAACAGTTTGGTTGATTCCTCCAGCACTCTAGTTTTAGTTTTACATGAGCAGGTGAATGAAGAGAGGCATTGTTGAGGACAAACCTTTTGCTCAGTCTCTTTGTGGCCTGTCTGCTTCCTCTAAAGATATCCAGACCTGGCAGCAAGGGCTGCTCAGGGCTGCTTGTGGAAACTAAAAGGCCCTCTTTGTCTTACTATCAGGATCCTTTAACATCCGTGGGGGCAGGGAGACCTCTGAGTGACCCTGCAGGCTGGGGAGGTAGGGAATGGTCAGGTTCCTGCCTTCCCAGGTTATTTTCATAATGAGAGGCCAGGAGGGTGGAGAAGTTTCTGAAGGGATGGCTTTGTATTCACCTGGCAGTCAGATGACTCACAAGGGAGAGAGCAAAGGAGAATGCAGGCCCCAGTGGACAGCTGGTCCTATACAGGTCACAGTAACATGCGGAAGAGGGAGAAAAGGGTGAGGCAGATCTGCCAGGCAGGCTCTCTGCTCTAAAAGGCTCAGGCAGCCAGAGGGTAGGCAGAGAGGCCCTCTCTAGGGCTGGAGAGGACAGCTAATGGCCTGCAGGAGTGAGACCTGCACTTTATTTAATCAGTGTTTAGTTTGTGAAAGCGTTTGAATACATGATATCGCCACTCAATTTGAGCATATTGTCGAGTCTGAGGCATCTCACCTCAAGACCGTAATGTTAAGTGAAATAATTCAGACATATAAAAGTTTAAATATCTCACTGTTTCTCTTATGAGAATCCCAAAGATTAAATAAGGAGCAAAATGGAGGATTTGGGGAAGTAGGAAAAACATGTTCAAATGGGAAGGAGAACAAGATGGGGAGGGGGAGGGGGAGGGAAGGCAGGAAAAGGGATTTTAAAAAAAGAATGGAAGGGAAAATGGAAACAAAGCTTTTGTAAACAGGGAGGGGTAGAAGGGTTGAAGAGAGGAGAGGGGAATGCGAAAAAAAGAATTAAGACATATTTTATATAGGTACAAATTTCCTGTGATGAGTGTGGTCATTGTGTATGGCAAACATGTACTAATTATTTAAAAAGAAGGATCTGAGGCATCTGAGGAGGCCGGGCCAGCCAGGGGGCATTTCCTGGGTGGCACCAGCTATCTGGACCCTCTTAATTTTTTCGAGGTCTGCTCACTGTGTCACTGGGCAGCCGGAGTCCTGCAGCTTCCCTGGGGCACTGGCGCCACCTGCTGCCCTTCTCCCACCTTTTTCCTCTTCCCAGTCCTCTAGCGGTGCTCTGATTCTAGTCCTCATAACCTCACTAGGTCTGACAAGCTCTCCTACTGTATTAGTCAGTGCTTACTAGAGTCAGATGTAGAAGAGTGCAATATGTCCATCTGTATGCTGGAAATCCAAAGGATCCAGTTGAGGGCTTGGAGCCCATGGCAGTGTCCATGCAAGTCCACATCAGGAGGCTGAAGGATCCACTATGGGAGACAGAAAGATCTGCACCAGAAAAGCCCAAAAAGAAAGGCCAGTGCTAGAAGAAGATGAAGTGTCTGTGCCAGAAGGCTGAAGGATCTGAGCCAGCAGGCCTAAGGATCTGCCCAGATTATTTAATCCTAGTATTATCTCATGTGGTATGTTTTAGTATTATCCTCTCTCAAAAGATGAGGAAACTGAGGCCCAGGGAAGTTCGATGGCCCACTAGTCATTGTGGTTGTTAAATAATGGCTGTTTGACCTGGGAGGGATGTGTTGCCAGCTTTATGTATCCTGATGGGAAACTGGCCTTTTTCTGGCACTCACACTCCCCTCTCCGGTCCCTGAGGGCACCACACAGCAATCACACATCCTAAACAATAGTGGTATTCTGTCAGTGACATGGGCTTACAGTCTCATAGTGGTTCTGTTGTATTTGCTTTGTCCCTTTTTATCCCACATTAATTTCTTCCTCCCCAGGCTGGTACTGATTTGGCACTGGGCTCCCTGGGTTTTTAATCAAGGCATCCTGCATCCACACTGTGAAACTCACCCAGCATTCACTCCTGGCATGTGCCTGTGGCTGGATGCCAGGCCTCTTGCTGAGAATGACCAGCCTCACAGCTTCTCCAAATAGTTATTTGCCCAGGATAGTGGCCAAAGTACTGAGCAGCACAACTATTTCCTCTATGTCAAGCTTTTGATAGTCTCTTTGGCAAAATGGAAACCAATGTATTCCTGTATCCCTGGTGACAAGCACAGGGTCAGGCATGTGGTTAGTACCTAGTAAATAGTCATTGAGGAAATGACTTTATTCTTGTTTCCACTTTAAAAATTAGAGTTGTCTGACCAAGAAGACAGGGAAATCTTGAAAATGGGTGTTTCAGTTGGCTTTTGCCCATAACAAATTGTTACAGAACCTTGATGGCATTTGGTAAGTGTCTTCTGCTCTTGAGTCAGGGTTCAGCCAAGGGCTGGCTCTGCCAGTCAGGAATTAGGCTTGCTGCTGTGCCTGGGGTGTGGCTGCTGGCATCTGTGCTTGACTAGCTTCAGTGGAGTAGCTGGAGCGTCTCAGCACTGTCCATATGCCACATCCTTCTGGGTCCGGCAGGCTGGAAGCTTGAGGACAGCATAGCAGGGCACAAGTGTGCCATGACAGAGGCAGCTCAGGTGGTGTGAGCACACCCCACTCAAGAGGACCTGCTTTGCTGTGGCCCCGTGAACAGTGGCCACATTGAATTGGAAGAAAACCAACTTGTGGGTGTATTCAGTAGCCAAAGCCTCTTTTTAAATGGTATGTTACAGGAAGCATCAATAAGTGATTCTCAAGGGCTGGAGGGGTGACAGAATGTGGAGTCAGGAGTTGTCTTCCTGCTGCTCCATCTTGCTTCCATGGCTCCTGGGAAGCCAAAACTAACAGCTCTGAACAGCTGCCTCTGAGTGTCACTGGCATTTTCATTCGTCTGTCCCTAGTCTGCAGGTGACTCAGCAATGTGGTTTGGAGATGGGGACTTCTCAAGCCATTCTCAAATGATACCCAGCACTGTGGTTTCATTGTACAATACTCAGTGGCAACAGCTGCCTTTCAGCTGAGCCTGGCCCAAGAGTATGTCTGTTACGGACATGGTAAGCCAGAGACCCAGCTGAAGGCCACAGGTGTCGTGACTCCCTCACCTGTGCCACTGCCCTTTGGACAGATCTCAGCTTCCCTGTGCAGACTCAAAATATGAAACCCAGAACAGTTCATTTGTTGCTTTCAAAACAGGCTACATCGGACCTTTAACAGTGCCTGTTTCAGCTGTTAGGTTATATAATAGATTACCCCAGAATTTACTGGTATAAAATAACCACTTGTTCTCACAATTGCTGCAGATAGAGAATGTGGGCAGGGCCCATGGACACTGTTTGTCTCCCCTGCACAGGGCCTGAGTCCTCTGCTGGGCAGACGTGAAAGCTGGGGCCAGAGCCCTGCATATCATATTCGCCCCCTGGGGGCTAAGGCCCCTCTTAACATGGCGGTTCCAGAGTGAGCAACCTGAGAGAGAGGGCCAGAAGGAGGTTGTACCTCGGTCTCTGACCCCACCTTGCAAGTCATGCCATTGTCACTCCCACCACATTCAAGGGGAGAGGAAACAGATTCTGCTTCCTGATGCAGAGTGGCACAGTTCTGCAAGAGCATGTAAAACCAGAGATGTTGCTGCAGCCATTTTTGGAAAACAGACAGCCACAGTGCATTCACAGTGTAGAGCCCATTACTGAGGGGACATTACCACAGCCTGTGGAGCCAGGCCAGGTCTCATCTGTCTGAATTTATCCTGTTCTCTGGATTTTAGAATGTTGGTGGTGGTGAGGTGGATTTAGTATATTGCCTATATTTTCCTCATTTCTAAAATTGATATGCTGTGTCTGTTTTAAGACCCCACCAACTATGTGAGCAATGATTTTATAACTTGTTCGGTGTGGTAGAGGAAGAGTACTGATCTGTGGTAAATTTCATTCCACTCTCAATGTTAAAATACGGGAAAGAGGAGCACACATTGGAATTAGGAAACACGTTCTGTTCACAAGGACCTAGAAATATAGAAAAACACAAATGGGAAAATTAGAACTTAAAATTAGGTTAAGTATAGGATACTTTTGAAAGTTAAAGGAGTAGCAGGCAGTCAGCCAGCTGGTCATGAGCATCAACTGGGATTATCCTGAAAAACCAGAGCATCTGCTCCCCTAACCTAAAACCCTGAGTCAAAACCAGATTTAACCGCTTTTAACATGC